AAAAAAAAAAAAATAGCAGACATGACTATTATCATCTTTGTTTTGCAGATGAAGAGAATGGGTTTCAGTGCAGTTAATAACCTAATAATCAAGGTTATACAACTACTTATGTGACTGAGGAGTGGAATGGATCTGATTCCAAAGTCCATGATTTTTTAAACTACAACAGCTGTTTTCAAATTATGTTCAGAGGGTTCCCCAGAAGTTGTCACAGGGCAGGAGCCAAGTGGTCAGGGTTTCCCATTTCCACACCTGGCTAAAATAGCCACATATATATCTGTATTGCATACTGGAGTTACATAAGTTAAAAATAAGTTTGATTAGCCCTGGCTGTTTAGCTCAGTTGGTTAGAGTGTCATCTTGACATGCCAAGGTTGCAAGTTTGATTTCCGGTCAGGGCACATACAAGAAACAACCAATGAATGCATAAATAAGTGGAACAACAAAGTGATGTTTCACCCTCTGTCTCTAAAATCAACCAATAAATTTTTAACAACGAAGACATACACATATAATAAGTTTGAAAATAACCACATTATCCTATGCTGCCCTGCTCCTAAGAATCAAAAAAGTCTTACTCTAAACCTAATGCGATCCTAGGGCCCAGCAGAAAGGAATTGTCTTAAATGAGAAAAAAACTGTAGCAGACCAATTTCCTAGCTCCTTGACCATGTTAAGATTTCCTTAATCTGGTTACATTCTTTGTTCCTTTTCAATTCTTCACTCTGTTCACAGGGTCTACCCATCCCCCAGTCCTTGCTGTGTGTGTGGGGTGAGGAAGGCAGGTTTCTGCAGGGTAGGTTCCCCTCCTTTCTGAACCCCCCAGCCCCACCTACTCAGTGAGTCAGGGACCAGGAATGTCTGTGGGGGCAGTAGACAGGTATGTCACCCTGGGGGTGTCAGAGGCTGATTCATCTCTCATCTCCACCCAATCTTCTCCTTACTGTTCTCTGGGAAATTTAACTCTTTATTTGCGTAGAGATAAAAGAGGGAGATCCCAGACTCTTAACTCATGGAGTCTTCAATCTGTGGCTAGGTACAGTACTTAATACATCAGATTATGGTATTCAAGAAATGTCTGTTGAAAGAGAAGGAAGAGAGGGAGGGAGGATGACACATTTTCTCCCTTCTTCCTCCAGAATAATGTTAACCTGAAATTTCCTTGTCTGAGTGTAGAGGGGACTGAGTTTTTAAGAATAGATTGTGAAGAGAAATCTTCTGCATGTCCCAATGTCCCTTCTGTGCAGTTTATATGATTCCACAGAGCAATGTGGAGGCTCCAGGATTAATATACAGGAAGAGGCCACAAATTAGTGTGAAGGGAGCTGTATTTACACAGTAAGCACACTTCTTGGGATTTTATGTTTATTGGGGATAGACTGAAGGGGCCTCTCATCTCCCTCCTTCACAACTGCTTCAGGGTTTTGGATGGGGAAAGAAAAGTAAAACTGCTATGTATTCTGGTCCAGAGCATTTTTACCAATACTCATTTTTTTCCCACCTTAGTTGGGCTCCAAATCCCCATCCCATCCCCTCACAGCTACTCAGTCTTAAGCCACTGGACACCTGAGGGTTGTCTGAAGTTGGCTCCCTGGCCGGAAATGAAGGACACGATCAGTTGTAAATGAGACTTATGACTTCTCCTGTCCTCAGTAGGTCTGATGCCATTGAGATATGTGCTAATTTGGGACTCTTCCTTCTAAAGAGGACAACTAGTGGAGGTGGGAGCCCAGACCAGGCTGGGTAAGGGCTCAACAGCCAGGGGCAAGAGGGAAGAAAAGGGAAGGGACAGGAAGAGGGTTACTCAGCTTGCTAGAGAATTTCCTTCCAGGTGTCTCTGGCAGTTGGGCCTCCCCACTGCTTTAAAAAACTGGGTGCGCCTTTGTAATGCTGGGATGGGTCTGAAGTCACTCCCCTTCCCCTCTCAGAAGCCTTGAGAAAGGACAGAGAATCTCCAAGACTGACCTTCCCACAGACCCTTGTGGGATCAGGCTTCCTATTCTCAGCCAACTAGGGATGAGTGTTTTGCTAATTTAGAAACTGCTGAGAGCCCGGCCTGGGCATGGCTCAGTGGTTGAGCATCGACCTAGGATCCAGAAGAGGTTCGATTCCTGGTCAGGGCACATTCACAGGTTGTGGGCTCGATCCCCAGTTGGGGGCATGCAGGAGGCAGCTGATCAATGATGACTCTCTCATCATTGATGTTTCTCTCTCTCCCTCTCCCTTCCTCTTTCTGAAATCAATAAAGATATATTAAAAAAAAAAAAATTACAAAGGTGTGCTTCAACTCGGTGGACTTTAGGGCATCACCCTCACTCCTAAGCCTCTTTGGGCTGGAAGCCTTTCCAATTAACTGTTGTCTCTGATAAGTTCCAAATGCTATCTTCCAATTGTTGGGTCCCCAATTCAGAGACAGGAAATATATTTATCTTAATGTCAGCGATTAGCAGAGGTGATCAAGATCCCTTCTAAGGTACTCAGATCGGGCTTTCTCCCTCCAGTTGTTCACAATTTGCCAGTAAGGTCTGGAGGAGAGAGGGGCACTTTCAGGAAGTGTCTGTGAGATGTAATGTGGCACTTTTCTGGAAGGCATTTTGGCAATATGAATCTAGAACCTGTGAAACATTAGCTTTTTCATTTCTAGGATTTTATTGTAAGTTAAAAGTCAAAAACTCAAAGATTTGGGTACAAAGATGTTAATCACAGCACTATTTACAATAGCAAAAAATTGGTCATGGTTTATAGGTTAACCATGAGAATTTGAGTGGGTAAACCATGTTATAGCCGAACCACAGAATATCATCATATAAACATTAAAATGTCTTTATATTTTTAATTACATGAGATAGTGTTAACTAAAAAAAGGTTACAAAGCAATATATCTTACTCATATAAATGCTATAACTATTCCTCTGCATGTATAGAAAAAGAAAATATACAAAACATACATTTAAATATATAACTTATTATAATTTTTATTTCTGTTATGGGATTATGGGTCTAATTTTCCTTTTCCAAGTTTTTTACTTTGCTATTTTTATCAACGAAAGGAAAAAAAAGAAATCTTAAGGACAGTTGCCATATCCCAGCCATACTGGAGGATGGTCTTTCTCCTACCTTACACACTTCACATTGAACAGACTTTAACTGGAACCCAGATGTTTCATCTTTTCTGCACTGTGCTGTCCCCTCCCCAACATGACAATCAGTCTGCTATCAGTGGGGGGTGGAGAGAGCTACAGTTACTGGAGAAAACATCCTTGCTATCACACCAATGCCTGAAAATAAAGTTTTGGATTTTTCCATTGTTCTCCATTCCATGAGTGAATAAATACTCAGGGTGCTTGGATGTGAGCCCATAAAGTTCTAAATGACACCTCTTTCTAACTGGTTTGCTTTGGTGACAGCCGCAGCCTCTGTGGTGGGGTAAGCATCAAAACCCATGACCACAGCTATTGGTACTATTTTCAAAAACACAGCATCTAGCCTGGCTGGGCGTGGCTCAGCGGTTGAGCGTTGACCTAGGATCTAGGCGATTGGGGTTCGATTCCCGGTCAGGGCACATGCCTGGGTTGCAGGCTTGATCCCCAGTTAGGGGTGTGCGGGAGGCAGCTGATCAATGACCCTCTCATCATTGATGTTTCTATCTCTCTCTCTCCTTTCCTCTCTCTGAAATCAATAAGGATATATTTTTTAAAAACCCAGAAAAACACAGCATCTATCCTCACTCCCTGTTGAGGGATTTGTCCAGCAGCCTGGGCGTCAGGATTCCTGGGCTCCAGGCCCTATAGGTGACTCACAGCAGCCCCAAGCTGTGACTCCTGGCCTCAGTTTCCCTGGCTTGCTGTTAATACTCCCCACCTACTGTGCAGGGTGTTAATAGGAGTGAGGTGCTTTGAACTCTGCAGATGAAAGAGGATAGCGAAGCAGCACCCAATTATTATCCCTTTTAAGGCCAGGCGTGGGAGCAAGGTTGGCTGCTTTCAAACTGTCCCAGCCACAGAAACCTCCTTATAGTCCGTCACTCTGCTCTGGCTGTCAAAACTGGAAAGCAAAGCTGTCATCCCCATCTCAATGCTACTTCAGAATAGATTTTCTTAAACTGCTCAAACCACCAGTGGCCTATCTCCCCTTGATTTATAACTCAGTAATACTCTACAGGTGTCTAAATTCTTTCTTCTAATTGGCCTCAAATCCTGTGGGATATGGGCCATGACTTTTCACCATTAGTATTCACAATTAAGACGTCAGCAAAGTGGACCATGATCGAGCCAGGCTAATCAAAGTTCAAACTCATCTTTCTGATCCCTTCATGTAAAGTGGGGCTTAGTAATAGTCCCAATCTTGTTTGTATCTCTGAGTTGCTGTATGAACCACATAATGACCATGTGTTTTAAGGCACTTGGTAAAATGCCAAGCCCTTCATGTATGTCAACAGGACCAAGTATCTGCAAATAAGACTTCTGGCACAACTGCCATCTGTCCCCTGGTGCCTCCAAACTTAAAAAATAAGCCTGGGGTGCCACCTATTGGTTGAAAATTTGAATTGCACCCAACCAGCTGCAAGAAGAGCAAAAGAAACAAACACCATTAATTCCAACTTTAAACCATCTTAATTTTCGCTATGTCCCTGTCATATTATATACTTAATATTGCTCTTTAAACAATGCACTTTGTTTAATTAACTTAATTTTTAAGGTAAACTTTTAATCACTACTATAAATAGAAACTAGCTAGTACTTATCAAAAATAGAATAAAACTGAAATAAATACAATGAAAATAAAACATTACAATCTAGTTAGGAAGTATCCCCTGTGAAAGCTCAAGCTGAAGATTAACCTAAGCACACCATTGGAGAATATTAATACTCCAGTTTGATCCTATGCTTTGGGAAATACTGCCCTGTATGAAGAATAGAACTCTTCTGAAGGAAGGTGACATTCACTCATTTTACCCCAGCTCCCTGGATGGTTGAAGAAAGTTTGAAAGCCACAACATGTAGGAGAAAATAAACTCTTGTATTGTAGCACATCCCACCCTAGTCCAAGTGGGGCCAGTGCCGATGAGCACCGAGTGCGTGGTGGGTGCTTTGTTTCCACCATGTCTAGCTTTTGGTTAGAAGTCTGTTGCAGGGCTGGATGTCCCTCATCAGCCTTCCAGTTCTGGTTGGGAGGACTGTTCTTGGATCTGCAGCTGCTAAGCTGTCCACCGCTCACTGGGAGCTGCAGCTTTCCCCAGTGTTGGGTTACGTGTCCTGTTCTCCAGAGCCCAGACTGTTATAGTTTCATTGCTTCTTGTTCCACTGACTGGTCTGAGGGTACCAGGTACTTCTCCTGGATGCCCAGGGTGCTGAGGGAGGGTATGTCAAGGATGACAACAGAGGCAAGGATGGGAAAGTGGTCTGGGCAGGATCTGACCTCTACTGATGCCTGCCTTCCAACCATGTCTAGCAGGGTACTTCCATCCTTCTCCATTCCTCATAATTACAGCTTCAGGCAACAGGGAACCAATTGGGGCTGAGAAGCCTATCAAAGCAACCAGACTCAAATGCTCTTCTTCCTCACACTGCTGAGGATCAAAGGACCAGAGTGCTAACCCTTCAGTTCTGTGTTACGACACATGCTCAGAGCCTGACCATGGGGATTTAAATCCTGATTTTGTTACATCCTTTTTCTCATCTGTAGAACAAGAGTTGTTACGAGGATCAAATGAGACAATGAACAGAGTGCCTACTGGCACACAGTAGGTACTTAACTGTTTGTGACTTGTCCTCTGCCAACGGAGAGAAGTCAAGGGAGCTCAAAGGAAATGAAAAATGTCTGCTTGGGCCACAGGATGCTTTCTACCTCTCTGGGACAGCAGTAAGGACACATATCAGATCCACAAAGGCAAAGACCATGACTCTGCTGATGGAACCTTATGAGGCTGACTAGCCTGAGGTCAGGGTCTGGGGTCTGACTAGGAGATAGTGGTTGACCATGGCTACGCTGGCACCATGGCTGCTCTACTAGATGACTCCAGTGAGACTGAGGTTTGAACTGTCCTTCCAACACATGCTGAGTAAGGGACCTTGCGCTTGTCACTCTCAGAGCCCAACAGCCTCATCTATAAAAGGGGATTGAATAAAGATTCAATGACATCCTGCAAATGGAGTATGTAGCCCACCAAATGATGTTCAGGTTACAGACCTTTCTTTACCATCTCACGGATCCATCCATCAAAATCCATCTCACTCTTACACAAACTGACTCTGAACCTGTGTCCCACCTCCTTTCATGTTCCTCAGGAAGTAATGCCTTGTTTCTGTGCAAGTTGGCCCTGAGGATCACTCAGGATCAGTGGGGTCCATCTTGCTTGACTTGGAATAATCTCAAACCTGTCTTATCTCTGATCTGAAGCCCACATTCCTGAGCAGGGCACATGAAATCCTGAGTTCTCCTGCCCATGTCTCTGGCCCTATCACTGCTCCCTAGCCAGAAGTCCTGTCCTGCCCATAAGTCATGCCATTCTACTTGCAAGACATGTCTCAATCTTGAACTCCTACGCTTTTCTCTACACTGTTCTCTTTGCCTTGAATTCCCTTTCCCTCTTAACCAACCTGGCTAACCCTCACTTTGAGATGATTGCAATGCAAATGCCACTACCACCATGAAGTTTTCTTTACCCACTCACCCCTCAGCAGAGCTGACTTTCCCTTCTTTATACCAATCCCTCATTACCTTATACACAAAGGTGAATCTTAAAAAGACTGGGTGGGGGAATAGGATCTAAAATCAGCACAAATGTTTATGGTTAAAAATACCCTTAAAATTCCTTTATAAAGTATATGATTGTCTAACCACTATGCTATACACCTGAAACCAATAAAGAATACTGAAAGTAAACTGTGATTGAAAAATTAAAAAACAAAATAACAGTTCAGGGAACCAGAACCAAAATAAAAAATATATATACCCTTAAAATTCCTTAAATCACTTATTAAATACAGTATACATGGTTTTATGAATAGAATCCTATTATAATAATATGACTGCATAAAGTAATGTACGGTGTGCAAAATATCACAGCACTATTGACAGTGTCCCTTCCCTTTTTTGCTGAGCACATACAGTTGAATTTGAATTTGCCAATATTAACTGCATGTGTGAGGCAGCTCCTTAGTCCCTTCTTCAGGTACTGCACACTCTGCCATTATCTGTAACTCATCTATTTCCCTGTGAGCTTTGTTTCCCACGTGTGAAAGGGCCTGACACAGATCAGTAAGTGTTGGCTGGACCTATTTTCCTCCCCACCCAAGGACTCTGGAGCGCCACCCCTCCACCCCTTGTCTCCAGCATCCTGTGTAGATGCCAAGTCTCTGAAACCAGCATAGAAAGCTTGATTTTCCCTGTCCTGCCTCACATGTGGCCTCTGTGACCTGAGAGACACCTATACAGGACCTCAGTCCCACCCCCCACTGGTCTAATTCTGAAGGTCTCCCTGTCTCCCAGCCAGCTCTGATTGTCCCAGGGCCTCCTCAAACACAGCACATCTGCCAGCTCCCATCCCTTCCATCTACGTGACAAAGACTCCTCTTTCTTTTCTTACCTCAGTGACTAGCACAACCACCCATACCACTCACTGTCTAAGCCAGAAGCTGGGAGTCTAAATTCTGCTCCATCTCTATTTTATAACCATCTGTCACCTTAATATTTTTCCAATCCACACACTTCTATTCTTACTACTACTGTTTCAGCTCGTCTTTTCTGAAGACTGTAAAAACTCTCCTGCCCCAAATCACATCCCTTAAACACATTTTCCACACTTGGAGGGGCTTTTCAAAAATGTACATTTGTTCATGTCACCCCCTGCTCAACAATACTATGCTGGTTCCTACTAGTCACCCATGCGCTGAAGTCCACACTCCTGTAGGGCACTTAAGCACACCATTGCCAGACCTGCCTACCTCCCCTGCAGCCCTGCATCCCCCTTCCCTCTTCACACTCAAGACACCAGGCAAACTGAACCCCTTACCTCCCTTCCAAGTGACCAATGCCCTTTCATTCCTGGGCCTATGTATTTGTTACTTGTTCTGATCAATATTCTCCCATCTTCAGGTACAACCAACCCTGAAGCATTCTAAGGGACCAGCCTTTGAACATGAAAGGCACCAGGGAGCCCAATTGGTCAACATGATATCAGTCATCTGCAAGGGTAGATGTAACTATTCCTAAGTCCCATGTCTCCCCCATTGGCTGTGGCTGAGAGGCCAGAGAGCAAGGATACGAGGAGAAATGGAAGTCAGCTCCCACTGCAGCAGACATCATGGCCTCCAGGCTTCGCTGCTCTTGGACCCCAAAGCAGTAGCCATTGGCTTTATCCACAGCCTGCAGGACCCGCTGGATACTCTCCTTGTCCTGGGCAGGGAGAAGAGAAACAGCTCTGTGAGTGAAAGAGGTGTGTGGAATTGAGGTTGTACCAAACTGCTGCAGTCCCCAAACATCCCCCTCAATCTTGCCTCATGAAGCCTCTGTATATGTAGCTTCCTTGGCCTGGAGTAGTTCTACTTGTTCCCAGAGGCCTGGCTACATCCCATTTTTCCTGACCACCAACCCACCTAAATTAGAACAGATAAACAACTCTATGTACAACCACAGTCCCCTGGATTTAATCCCTATTATAGCTCTGATCCTACCACCTTACTAACTACTAATAAGTTATTAACTCATCTGCCTCCCTTCCTTAACTATGCACTCCTTGAGGTCAGGGACACATTTATTGAGGAATTCCCAATGCCTGGCATAATGCTTAGCTAACAGTAGGCACCCAATAAATATGCATGTAACCTATTCACTCATCCCCATAAAAATAACAATTCATACATCACATGATAGGAAAGTTCAAAATAATGTATCACAGTTCTTACCACAATGCCTAGCATAGAAAATCTGCAGTAAGTAGTAGTTGTTATGATTAATATCATAGGTTTCACCTCATTTTAGAGAAGAGTGTGGCATTAAAAAGGAGAGACAAGTTTGCTCAAGTCCACCCACTGCAGAAAGGAACCAAACATGCACTGGTGTCTCCCAGGTTATTTTTGCAGGGTGAAGGTGAGAGGCATGGGGGTTGGGTATGACTTTGCAAAGTCAACAAGCAGTTGCTCATCTTGAGGAGCCTAAGAGACTTGTGCCTGACCTTGGTCAAGTCTCTTGCTGGTGACTTTCAGGGAACATGTGTAGAGAGGACCCAGCAACACAGACTAGACAGGGCCAAAGTTGGTCCATCCGCTTTACTAGAATCCTGCCCACCAGAGCCCCTGGTACCAAAACCAAGGGGACTGAATGATAGTCGGACCTAGGACAAAGCCTCTTGTACCCTTGGCTTGGAGTGAGGTCCCAGGCACTGTCAGAGCCTATAGGCAAGGGCAGAGGCCTCTTAGTCCCTGGTACCTGGATATTGAGAGGAATGAAGGAGACCAGGCTGTAGTCTTCAATGAGCTGCACCAGTTTCTCATTGAGCTGACGGTAGTGGCAGAAGAAAGGGTCAGAAGCCAGGTGGTCAAGCAAGTAGGAGAGGTCCAGGACCTCTGTGTAGTAGTCCAGGTTGAAGGCTAAGGAGAGAAACCAGTGTTTAGGAGCAGCTGGCATCAGGCTAAAACCCCAAGAACAGGGACCATATATATTTTTTTCTTCCTCTGCCTTCATTCCCTCACTCATTTATTCATTCAACAATGGCACTGAAATGAAGTTACTAAGAAGAAAATAGTTGTCCGGCCACCATAGCTCAGGGGTTGAGCATCGACCTATGATCCAGGCCACTGAGGTTTGATTCCTGGTCGGGGCACGTGCCCGGGTTGTGGGCTCGATCCCCGGTAGGGGGTGTGCAGGAGGCAGCTGATCAATGACTCTCATCATTGATGCTTCTCTCTCTCTCTCTCCCTCTCCCTTCCTCTCTCTGAAATCAATAAAGAAATATATTTAAAAAAAAAAAAAAGAAAAGAAAATAGTTGGTTTCACCTGCTGGTTCTGTCATTCACAAGCTATATGGACAGGTACCCACCTCAAGGGGCGGCTATGAGGAATAAATGCTATAAATCCCAGTGCCTAGTACAAAAAAGTGCTCGATCAATGGTAGTAAACATGTACCAAATACAGTGCTTGGTGCCTCCCTCATGAAGTGCAGAGTCAGGTAGCACCCCCAGGACCCAGCACACACTGTAAGGACTTTAACAGGGTGGCATCTGGGTAAATCTCTTTCCCTTTCTGGGCCAGTTCCTTCTTAATGTAAAGTGAGGAGACCAGACTTGATGACTTGGGGTCTCTGACTCAGTTCTATGTCTACAAACTTCCCACTAAGAGAAGGAAAGTGGGCCTGCACTGTCCATTTCAGCCTGGAACACTCAAGCAGTTGTGCTACTCAGTGGTATGTCCCAAAGTGAACTGAGGGAGCAGGCTGTCAGAGATCGATCAACTCACTCGTGTGCTCTGACTTCCATGTTCTAATCAGCGCTAATTAGAAACTGACACCACTGTGCCTACAAGGAAGAATGTCCTGGGCATTCCAACAAACTTCTTGGGTTGCTTGACAGGTAGGTTTCTCAATGAGAATTAAGAAACTGGGGCCAAGTACACTTGGGTTTAGATTTCATCTCCACTAACATACTAGCTGTGTAAGGTCTCTGGGACTCAACTGTGTCATTTGATTTATTAGCCTCTTGTGAGGATGACTATCAAGAATCAGTGCTAGCCAATAAACCAATAAACATATCCTCAGGTGCGGATTAGAAAAAAGTCAGAGCTAAGAAAGTTGAAGACCACCATGTAGCCATTTGGTGGAGGCTATGAAGGGGGAGAGGGGCTCAGGAGGACTACAAATTTGCACATAGGTAAAATGCAGCTTCTGGGCTTGCTGAGAAATGGACCAGGACTCTGACTGACCAGGGGGTGCTGAGGTGGCATTTCCCAGGTGCTGACATCACTCCATGTCCTGACTGGTAGCCAGTTGGCCTTCCCTGGACAAGCCTCCTACATATCACTCTTCCAATGACCTCCCTTCCTGCTCATTGCTGGTCACTTCAGCTATTCTTTGTGGCTAGAGATGCTATTTAGGAAACTGATGCCCCAGCTTGGCAGAGCACTAATTTTGCAGGAAAGAAATGCTGGACAAAGGGTCCTTATGCAACTCCCTGCCTCATAGCAGCTTGCTTTTCCCTCAGTCTTCTCCACCTTAACAAATGGCACCCTTATCTGTACACTGCCTTGGTCAGAAACCTGAGCATCATGTTTGTTTGTTAATATTTTTATTGATTTCACAAAGGAAGGAACAGGGAGATAGAAACATCAATGAGGGAGAATCACTGATTGGCTGCCTCCTATATGCTCCCTATTGGGCATCAAGCCCGAAACCCAGCCATGTGCTCTGACTGGGAATCGAACCATGACCTCCTGCTTCATGGTTCGACGCTCAACCACTGAGCTGCACTGGCCTGGCCTGAGCATCATCTTTAATTCCTCTGTCTCCATGTCCAATCCACAAACAAATCCTATTTCCTGAGCAAGTTTTTTTTTTGGGGTGGGGTGGGGTGGGGAGTTAATCCTCACCCAAGGATATTTTTTTCCATTGATTTTTTTTTGAGAGAGAGTGGAAGGGAGGGAGAGAGAGAGAAGAAACACTGATGTGAGAGACACACATCAACTAGTTGCCTCCTGCATGCACCTCAACTGGGGCCAGGGATTGAGCCTGCAACTGAAATACCCACCCTCAACCAGGAATCGAACCCGAGACCCTTCAGAACACAGGCCAATGCCGCAACCGCTGACGCTCCAAATCAGCCAGGCTCCTGAGCAAGTTTTGAATCTAATTTTCTTCATTCCCACCACCACTGCTTGGGCTGCTGCAAAAGTCTCCTAAAGGAATTGTTTTCATTCTTGCCCCTTTTAATTCATTCTCTATAAAGCAGCCAAAATGACCTTTTCAGATCATGCTATTCCCTTGCTAATATTCATCAATGTCTTCTCTATGTTTAAACAGTATAAGTTCTGGCCCCTGATGACCTCTCTGACTTCACTTCCTACCACCCTTCCCCTGACCACTCTATCAGCTACGCTGCCCCCACCTTCCTTGAACACAAAAAGCTCTGCCTGAGAAGGCCTTTACCTCTATTGGTCCCTCTGCCTAGAATGGTTCTCCCTTGGCTGGCTCCTCACCATTAAGGTTTCAGCTCAGATGGCACTGCTCATTCCCCACCACTGACTGTCCCATCATTTAGTTTTAATTCCTTCATAATACATATTACCATCTATAGTTTCTTTGTCTCCAAAACACAGAACACTATATGGCACAAAATAACTGGGCAGGGGTCAGGACCTGACTGTGGCTATGATCACCAAGCCATGCATAGCCCCTGGAGGCAGTTTCCTTCAGCTGAGATCTCTGCTTCACTCCAGCTCAAAACAGGAGCACTTACCTAGCTTTCCATAATGCTCAATGAGGTCCATTTTGGAGAGGAGGTTGACATGGGGTAGCTCTACATGCAGCATGGTGGCCAGGGAGGTACACAGTACTGAAATGAACTTGGCGGGGTCTGTGCAGTAGTGAGAATCCACCAGGTGGACAGCAGTCAGCTGGGAGGGGAGGAAGAGACAGGGTGAGAGTGGCCTGGGGAGGCAGGGAGCATCAGGGCCTATGTATCCCCCAACCTGAGGACAGAGTGCCAGCCTTCGCCATTGGTCTTTTCCTTCTGTTTTGTTCTGAGAGCCACATGCACTTCCTTCTCCCAGGAGATACGGGCATTTTTCTTACAAGATGCCTTGCCCTGAGCCTGCATCTGACTCCATTCTTTCACTTACTTTTGCCCCCAATTCACAACAACAATCGCTATGTTATTTTCCACATAACTCCTTCCATACTTCCAATAATCCCAAATTGGGTACTAACACATCCATTTTACAGATGAGAAAACAGATTCTGAGTGATAAACTGACTTACCCAGGTCCACACAGCGAGTCAGTAGCAGAGCCAGAATTCGAAATCATACCAGTTTTACTCCAAAGCAACTGCGCCCCTGCCTCGCTGTGTGACATGGGGGTGTGGCATGCCCTCCTTGTCTTAGTTCTTTCATCCGCAAAATGGGCCTGCCCGACCCAAGACGCACCCTGAGATCCCACTGGGCCATCTGGGAGAAGATGCTGCGCAGGGCGCCATGGTGAGTGCAGAGCTCCACTTGGCCTGGGCAGTCGAAGAGGAAGTAATGGCCGCGGAGGGGGTCAAGCTTGGCGCGCAGCCAGTCCAGATTGGCCTCCAGGTACTCCATGCAGTACAGCAGGCCGCCGTTGGGCCCCAGCCGCAGCGCGTCCATCACGTCGCCCAAACCCACCAGCTCGCTCACGTCCACGGCGCACTCGTACGGCAGCCCCTCGTTGGCTGGGTCCAGGTTCACTACCGCCACGCGCCGGCCCATCGCGCGCAGGAACTCGCTCATGCCCAGGCAGTAAGTGGTCTTTCCCGAGCCTGGCGGGCCGATCACCGCCTGTCCAAAGGCCGTGGTCGGAGCGGCCCCCGCCATGGGTGGCACTCGGCCCCGGGCGCGGCAGTTAAGCTCGGCGGAGAAACAAGGCGGGTGACAGGGCCGCGGACGAGATTCCCGACGTGCACTTTGGGGGGTGGGGGGTGGCGCGCAGTGGCGAAGCCGAGTAGTTGCCTAAAGAGGAGCAGCAGGGAGCCGACCAAAGCAGGGAGTGAACCGCCGATATTGTCGGACCAGCACCGACTTCCGGGAGACGTCGGAAACGACGAGGTAACGGAAAGGAAGTCCCGCCCTCACAGTGACGACCCAGCTTAGCGCCGAGGATCGTGGCGGCGTCCAACAGCTCACTCGCAGCGGAGGGTCAGGGTGTGGGGCGTAACGTGTGGGCAACGAACCTTTTTCGGGATTTACTCAACCTTCCTCTAAGCCCAAATTAGAAGATAAGAGAGAAATCCGGTTCGTAAACTTCTTTATTCTAACATTCGGTCGCAGATCCGGGCCACCTCCCGCGATTCTCCACCGTCTAGTTCCAGCCAGACGGGTAAAGGCAGTGGAAGGCCCTCCCCAAGGCTCTCTTCCGAGCACCACAAATCCTCTTCTCCAGGTACCTTTCCCCAATCTTTCTGGCCTTCAAGGTGACCCCACCCAAGGAAGGTCAATGCAGTTTTTCAGGGTACTGGGGGAGGCAACAGGGACGAGCCCAAACAGGAACCAGGATTAGGAGACCAACGAAGAGAGGTCATTAAACCCTAGGATCAAAGGGGAGGATAGGGGGCTTTTTGTAAAAATGCCCCTGAGGTAGAGAGCCAGAAGGCAAGTTCAGAACAAAACACGCTGATGGAGCCTCACAGATTGCTGCTCCCAGACTTTTTGCTGCTTTGGTGGGAGACTTCTTCCTGCTTCTGTGGCCAGAGGGCTGCCACTGTGCAATTATGAGTGGTCCTAAGTCAGTCAGTCCTTGAACCTGTCACTCAGGCTCTGAGAAGCTGTCCAATGCAGAGCTGGAACCCCTCACAAAGCTCATGTCTGTCCGAAACTTCATGCTGGTGGGTGGCTGGCGGCGGAGCAGCAACTCCCCTTGGTCCTGGGGTAGGGGCTCATCGTAGATGGTGGAGATGAGCCCCAAACCAGTTCCTCGGGGCCTCTTCAGTTGCCCAAATGGCTGTAGCTTCTCTCCGTGGTACCTGGATTAAAAAAGGCTCTGAGAGGGAGGGCTGCTCTCTCTCAAACCTCAGTTAAAGAGGTTGAGAAAGGACAGGGAAGTAGCTACTGCATTATCTGGTTTGCCCAAAAGACAGAGCCCTTAAATCTGGATCTTTGCTCTCCAGCTACCTTATTCATTCATCGACAGTGCCAGCAACCAGGGGCCTCAATGTTTCCATTTTAAATAGCACACAAAGTTTTGACCAGCTGGTGTGGTTCAGTGGTTGAGCACTGACCCATGAATCAAGAGGTCCCCGGTTCGATTCCCAGTCAGAGCACATGTCTGGATTGTAGGCTCAATCCCCAGTGTGGGGTGTGCAGGAGGCAGCCGATCAATGTCTGTCTCTCTCTCATCGATGTTTCTATCTCTTCCTCTCTCTCTCAAATCAATAAACATATTTTTAAAAATAAATAGTATAGAAAGTTTAGAACAACTGTCACTCCCTAATGGCAATCAAGTCCAAACTCCTCAGACTACAGGGGATGATCCCCCCCCCCCAGGAGATCCAGACCTATTTTTTCCTTCTAACCCTACTTTGAAGTTCATCCCCTAGGAGTCTCCAGCACCCACCCCAAAACCAGAGGGAAGGAGGAACCAGGGTATAGGTGAAAGACTAGCTTGGGCCCCCAGGGAAGTCCCTCAGCCATACTCACCCCAATCCACGCTTGCATCTGGGGTGCTGCCCATCATTATCCAGGGCCTCAGCCACCCCAGAGCACCGGCTGCCCAAGCCCTGGCCCTCAGCCCAGCCCTGCCGCTCCATCACCTTCCGCCCAATGCCCTGCAGAGGGAAAGAAAAAGACTCAAGAAATGGGGCTCTTATGGACAGGGGAGGGGGGAAAAAAGAGGTCAATGAATTGGACATAGTATTCACCTTGGTGTGGCGCTCAAAGGTGCCCACCTGGCGTTCGATCACGGAGCCATCCTCCTGGCCATCACGGAGTCTTTGTTCCAGACGCATCTGGACAGAGTCTCGGGCATCCTTGTCTCCACCACCTGAGGAAGCAGAGCCCAGTTTGCAGAAGGTTCTCTCTCAGCGGGGCGGAGATATCAGGTATTTAGGCCCTCCCTACAAGATTTACATATTCATCTTTATGGTGTTTTATTACCTTATTATTCTCTCTCATTAGACTGGCAGCTTACCAAGAGTAGGAACCATGAGAAAATCATGGTGCAGAAAAGTCACAGAACCAACAGAGAGACGCAGAATTAGAACCCAGGTCTTCTCCTCTCCCCATCTAGGTCATTTTTAACTCCAAAATCTAAATTCTTAACCACAGCATGAGCTCCTGACCCCAACTCTACCAGGGTCTGCCCACCAGAAGCAGAGCTCCCTGAGGGCTGTCCCTACGTGTCCTTGCTCCACAAAGAAAGGGAAAAAGCTCTGCCTACAATCAGCACTTAATGCACTCAAATAGAGATGTCTTAAGAGAGGAACCTTCTCAATGAGCTATCCCAAGGGAACTGGTGTCCTGTCTCAGCCTCTACTAAGCAGGTTGGTAAAGTGTCACTGCAAGACCAGGGCACTAGTTCCACATCCCAATACCACAGCCCCTGGCCCAGTACCAGTACCTTTGTCGTAGTACACACTCATGTCCACATCCCAGTCATCAGCTGTCTGTTCATCAAAGTCTGCAAGTATAAAAGCATCAAGTAGAGTGAGCTAAGGACTCTCAGTTCTGTTGAGAGTTAAATCTAGACTTAGACATATGTTCTAGAACTTGGAGCTTTTTTTTTAACCCTCAGAATTAAAAAAAATACCCAAGGATATTTTTCCACTGCTTTTCAGAGTGAGTGTGTGTGGGGGGAGAGAAACATTGATGTGAGACATATATCGACTGGTTGCCTCCCACACACACCCTGGCTGGGGCTGGGAATCGAGCCTACAACCCAGGTATGTGCCCTTGACCAAAAATCAAACCCACAACCCTTTGGTCTGCAGACTGGTGCTCTAACCACTGAGCCATGCCAGCCATGGTGAACTTGGGGCTTTTGATAGTAGTTTTAAATCTCTCCTCTGGGATGGTCATTCAGAATTTGAGGGAGAGCATTTTCTCTCTACTACACTGATTCCCCCACCCTTAAAAATGATGACTGGTCTCTCATACACAGTCAAGGTAAGCCACTTTCCTAAGTCTTTATTTGGGCCCAATGCCAGGGATTCCACCCTGTGGAACATAAAGTCCAGAGCAAATGCAGCAGGGAACACTCCCACCCCTGTGTGGTGCCAGCATTACCTCCTTCTTCTTCCTGCCAGAACTGGGCATCAGTGTAGAACACCAGGCCAGAGCCGCCCTTCTCCCACTTAAGCTCGATCTCCTCCTCAAAGAGCCGCTCAGCGGTACGCTCCTGCCTGGTAACATCCTCATGCAGTGCTTCATGCCGCTCCCACTCCTCACCCCGGTCATCATCCTGGAAAAAGGGGAGAGGTGACTTGCCTGTTTAGCTTCCTGACCTTATGCCCACAAGGAAGGCAACTCAGGGCACAGGAGGTCCATGAGATGGGCCCTCAGCATCATTCCTCCAAAATTTTTCAAGATGCAACACATATTAGGCCCTTGAGGCCTTGACCAACACATCTCTCCATCCCGCTTCTCAACATAGCTCTTTCGCCTGACAAAACTGATTCACTCTTATTTCTGTGTTTTTGGTCATACTGTTCCCCCTGCCTGAAATATATACTCTTTTCTCTCACCACCTTCTCTTCACTTGGTTAAATCCTGCTCATCCCTCAAGTTCTACAGCCTTCGTGGAGCCGCCCACACTGAGCCCCACAGCACTCTCACTGGTCTCTGAACTTCTCAAGTTTTAATTGGCACACACTGTTTAGGGCTTTCTACCTGATATCACAAAGAAAGAAGGGACAAGAACTAATACCTATTGTCTACTGTGTATGTCAGACCCTTCACATAACTTAGCTCCTTTAATCACCCCAACAATCCTGTGAGGTAAGTACCATTATCCCCATTCTACAGATGAGGAAACTTGGGTTGAGAGAAGTAAAGTGATTTGCTCAAGATAATACACCAAGAGAGTGGCAGAGCCAGCATTCAAACCCAGCTCTCCACACCACACAGCCTTTCCAGATGTTGGCTTTCTTTTCAGGGAGATTTAAGGCTCTTTGAGGGCAGGAAATGGTCTTAGACTATCTTTACAATCCTGTGCTGGCCCCTGTGTTTACAACTGCTTGACTGGGCTTGTGGAATGATAGGATGACTCATGGTTTGAAATCTTGGAGGCCCTGGTCCAGGTTAAACTTCAAGAGGCCTCAGGAATCACTGCTGCAGAACAGGTGCTGAAGAAAAGTCAGGATAGTACCACACTAGGATGTGTTAGCAACTCTGTGCTTGGAGTTTTGGAGACAATGGAAAATTACTTCTTACCCAGAGTGTGCAAAAAAGTTTCCCAACAAATCACACCTCTCCTGATAATATAGATGAATAACCAAGTTTGGAGAAAGAGGTAGAAGAAATGTGTATTTCATTGATAAAATGAGAGTGGAGGCTAGTGTCCACAGACTCCAGGTCAGAAAATAGAGGTGACTTCTCAGCCACATAATACAAGCACACAGAGGCCAGAAAAGCTGCAAAAGCGACTGGATTCACATGCTAGCTCTGCCTCTGTTCCTTAGATGATCTTCTCTCTTAGTAGTAGGTTTTCATCTACGAAAAGGACCCTCCTTACATTCTTTCTGAGGGAATGAAAAGACCCCTTTGAGCATCTTCTGATAAAAGTTCTGGCCCCTCTCCCCGCAAAAATGCATATTTGCACATACAAATGCAGTATTACATTTCATGCCAGGGAGTTCTAATTTTTTGGAATCCTCACGAGGGCTCCAGGCTCAGAACTCTTATAATGTACAATTGAAGAGTGGTGATATTTTTTCAGTTGCTTTTCAGAGAGAGAGAGAGGGAGAGAGGCAGGGAGGGAGGGAGGGACATCGATTGGTTGCCTCCCGATCGTGCCCCAACTGGGGCCGGGGATCAAGCCTGTGACTGAGGTATGTGCCCTTGGCCATAATCAAACCCAGAACCCTTTATTCCACGGGCCGATGCTCTAACCACTGAGCAAACCACCAGGGCAAGAACGGTATTCTTAATGTCTTGGCCCCTTTAAGCTGCCAGCAAGGACAGGGTGGCTCACTGTACTCACGTCATCTGAGTGTGACTCTTCTTCCTCTTCCTTTTCCCCTTCTTCCTCAGGCTCTCCACAGGGGCTGGCTGGTATGTCTGTCAGGCAGGTTCCCTGGGGTATTTCCTCACCCTCAGCCGTATACACAAGCTCTTCCTGCTCCACAGTCTCTGAATCCTCATACTTGAATGGCACATTGCCATAGCGCCGGGAGGAGCCTGTTTTGGGAAACTGGAGCTGCAGCTGGGTGATGATCCGAGGGGGCAGGCGGCAGGCCCGGATCAACTCCAAAAAGACCTGCAGGGGTGTCCCCACATTCCCATTGGGCATCAGCACTGGTGGGTTCAGCTCTGGCAGTTGCCTCAGGTCAGCAAGAGTGAAGGCTTCACTCTCAGCCTTCCAACTCTGCAGTTCCTTCCGGGTCTTGAAGGGAAAGGAGCCCAAACCTTGGGAAGCAGAGAGAAGAATGGCTCATGAAACAGAGAAGCCTCTAGCAACACTTGAGCCAGAAATCGGTCAAGGTTTAAATCCTTTAGTCCAGTGCTGTCCCTTCCTCCATTTCCTGACGAGAACCAACTAGTAATTTCATGCCATTTTCATCACTTCAGTTGAGCACACAAGTTTCTTCCAGATCTGGTTCCTGTTGACCTTTTGATTCTCAATTGCCACCAACCAATTGTGACTCTGCCACTTACTAGCTCTGTAATGTCGAGCAAGCAACATAACTTCTGCATCCTTCAGTTTCCTCACCTATAAATGGATAACAATAGATCCTACCTTATAGGATTGTTGTGATCAATCAATTTAAAAAATGAAAGCCTGCCCGACCAGTGTGGCTCAGCAGTTGAGCATCGACTATGATGCAGGAGATCACAGTTGGATTCCAGGTCAGGACACATGCCGGGGGTTGCCGGTTCAATCCCCAGTAGGGGGGCGTGCAGGAGGCAGCTGATCAATGGCTCTCTTATCGTTGATGTTTCTCTCTCTCTCTCTCCCTCTCCCTCTTTCTGAAATCAATGAAGATATATATATTTTTAAAAAGGCTTAGAACAGTGTCAAGTACACAGGAAGTGCTCAGTAAATAGTAACAATTAGAATGGCATCTCTGTGACAATTACCTTTTCACAAATCTGTCTTCCTCTCTGGACTCTGTGCACAAGAATGTGTCCAGTTGTTCTCTGCCTAACAGCTAGAGTAACACTAGGTCTAGCAATATAAGCTAGATTTGTTAAATGAAAAAATTAAAGGGCTCTGAACTGTTTCCTGTTCCCCACTAAAGTGATTTCCCATGAAATGGGAGCTGTCCTGAGAAAAGAAACCGTCTTCTTCACTTGTATTTTGCCAAGAGAGGACTGGGTGGGGAGCAAGGAAGAGAGCACGATAAAGACAATAAGAAGATTAGAAACCTGATTTCCTTTTTATCCTTCCGTGTCAATGCAAAATCAACCCCTTAAAGAAAAGGGTCTCGAAGGGAACATAAATTGAAAAATGTTAGATAATCCACGTAGGCCTCTTTCGTGTTTTTGTTTTTCCTAGTAAACTAACATGCAGATTGAGCCTGAAGTTCGGTCCAGAAAGGACCTAAACTCCGAAAGAATTGTAACCAGAGACCTCACGTATCCTCATCACCCGTTAAGGAACGAGCCTGAGTTCCAGGTCCAGTCTATTATCTTTCCCAACCGTACCTGATGCCTCAGTAGGCAGCCGAAGTCTGCGGATGAAACACCGACTGGGCAACCAAGTCCCCTGAGAATCCAGCCACCGACGGCCAGAATACATGCGAAGAAGCTTCTGGGCTTGAGCCGCCCCCCGTACGGAGATGACGCAGCAGCAGGTGCGGGTCTGGGCGCGGGTAGCGTCCCGAGTGGAGGGAGCGCGGCCATCGGTGATTGAAGTCTGGGCAAGACTCTGGCCAACCGGAGTTAGGACGGAGTTCGGAGTAGCCTGGGGAGGGGCCTGCTCGGGACGATGCCGGTAATGGAAACAAAGGAAGCCACAGCCGCTCTGTTCCCGGAACTGGCTGAAGTAGCTCCGTAGCTGGGCCGAGCGCAACTCCGAGGGGATGCCACTCACTATTAAGTAAACTGCCGCTTCTTCTTCCGCCTCCCCGGGCACCGCCATCTTGGCTTGTCACATGACCCACGGGGTACAATTCTCGCGAGAACACCGCGAGTGACGTCGAGGTTGTGTGTCACAAAGCCGTGTAATCCATGATTCGCCCGTCTGGGCTGTGGATGTGGAACCTGGAAGTGGGGAGGTCCCGGAGAAGTTCCGGCCCTTTTTCTACAGTGAGTAGCCGACGGTGATGGGAAAACTCACCTGAGTGGGGTTACAGAACTCTTTCATAAACTCTTATGAGGATCAAATTAGAAGCTTTTGGGAGGCGCAATTTTCAAGATTTTTAGTTGTTGGGGATCTCTCAAACCTAATCATAGTTATTTCAGAGTTTTCTGTCGTTCATCCATTTATTCTTCCAAAGCATATTGGTGGACTTACACAAATCAGTAAGAAGAGATAATCCAGTTGAAAAGTGGGCCGAAGTCACTTCGCAGAAGAGAAACACAATTAGTACTTAAACATGTTCAATCTCATTATTAGTCAAGGAAAGGCAATAAGATCCACGGCACATACACCAGATTCGCCAAAAAACTTAAATCTTTAAGTGTCTGTGATGATGTGGAGCAAGTGGAGATACCATACATTGTTGGTGAAAGTGTGAACTGGTACAACTACTTTGGAAAACAACTTGGCATTGCCCAAAGTGAAGCTACACATCTCTTGACCCAGCAATTTCACTTATAGGTATATACTTTAAAGAAATTATTATGTTTATTAGGAGATGTATTGATGTTGCATTTTACCAATCCTGTGATCCTGGAAAACCGGGAGGGTTATGAAACCCCTCCCACCCTCCTGTGTTCTGGAACATAGTTTACTGCAAAGAAACACTCTTCTGTCTGGCCTGCGTGGCTCAGCGGTTGAGCATGGACCTGTGATCCAGGAGATAGAGGTTGGATTCCTGGTCAGGGCATATGCCTGGGTTGCTGACTCCATCCCCAGTGGGGGGGCGTGCAGGAGACAGCCGATCAATGACTCTCTTCTTTGATGTGTCTATCTCTCTCCCTCTCCCTTCCTCTCTCTGAAATCAATATATATATAAAGAAACTCCCTTCTCTGACAGATAAAACTTATGGGCGCCCCCTTGTTTACCTATGACAATACACAGAATCCAAATTCCAATTCTCGCCTCATAAATGGTTAGATGAGGCGTTAACAACAGAAGGCTTGCTACCTAAACTTTGGTTGAGCTTGTGTCCTTCCCCCAGGTCCCTGAACTTTGTGCCCCCTACACCTCCCTCAGCTTGAGCCAGCACACAGTCCCCCCTTAACAGCCCCTCCAGAGAATAGGCTGGCTTCAGGCTGGCATTCTCTGACCTACTTTCCCATCATGCCACTCCTGGTCATTCCATATCCTCACACTCAGTTCTTTCTAACCTTGTTTACTCCTCCCTATGAAAGAATAACTCCTTTGCCTAACCCTTGAAACTTGTAGATCTTACGATCAAAGTGTTCTCCCACTGCAAAAGCTTCCCTCTTCCTATTGTAATAGTTCCTTTCTCCCTTGCAATGATCACCTCAAATAAAGTCTCTCCTTACTAAGTCCAGATTTGTTTTTATTTGACAGTATACATGAATATTCATAGCTGCATTGTTTACAAGAGCAAGAAAATTGGCATTTAGTACTAATAATCTCAGGCATATAATAAGTAAAAATAAGCAAGTCAGAAAACACAGTTATCCTATTTATATAAAGTTCAAAAATACAAACTAAAAAATGTTTTTTAGGGATACATAAATAAGCTTTAAAACCATAAAGAAAAGTAAAGAAGTGATTAATCTAAAATTCACAGTACTCATTATCTTTGGGGACTTCAAAGTTGATGGTAATAATGACCTATGGAACAATGATGAAGGTTCTTCGTACTGTTATTCTTTACATATATTTTATAAATATTGTTTTATTCAATGTTAATAAAAATATCTTCAAAGGGAAAATAACTCATATTTCAAAAACATAAAGCAGTTGGTTACTTTGTGATGATCACAAGTTTATACCTATTTGAGAAATAAAAAAATAAAAACAGTTCTGATGAGCATCTGGGTAATTGTGAATAGGGACAATGTTATATCTGGATTCTAAAACTTGCTTCTGGAAATGTAGGTTAGTACAACCATTTTGGAAAACTGGCAAGATCTACTCAAGTTGAGCCACTTGCTATGACTTAGAATTCCAGTTCTTTTTATATAGCAACAGATCTGCAAACACCTGTGCACCAAAAGACATGTATACAAGAATAATCCTACCAATGTTATGTGATGAACCAAATGTTCATGAGCAGTATATGGATAAATGAATTGAAATATAATGGGATACTGTACAGTGAACATGAATGGATTACTGCTACACAGCAGAATGAATCTCAGACGTAATATTTAGTGAAGGAAGACAAACATAAAAGAGTGCATGCTATATGATTCCATTTATATAAAGTTTAAAGCAAGCAATCTCAGGAAATCAAGGGTAGTGATTCCCTTTGCAGGGAGAGAGGGAGGGTGGTGATGGGGAGGGTTTCTGGGATGTTGTTAATGCTCTTCTATTTCTTGAACTGAGTGGTGGCTGCAGGGATGTATTCATTTTGTGATAATGCATCAAGCTATACATGTATGATTTGTGTACCTTTCTGTATATTATACAAAAAAAGTTTAGTTAAAATTATATTTTTGAAAATTGAAAAACAAATGCTTTACAGAAAACATTGTGGACCAAAATAAAGATGGTGTGATTTGGAAAAACTGTTAGATGACCAGAGAAGTTATGCATTTATGATTATACACAATTGCCATTTGTGTGACTAAATTACCAGGACCTTAAATGATGGTAGATGTGTGGTAGACTCTCAGTAAATTGTCATTAATGGAATGAATATTCCTGGCACTAACATGGGGATGTGCCACTAGATGTTGGCTGGGGACTCTCTCCAGAAAATTTGGGGTCACTTCCATGGGAGAACACACAGGCCAGATTTCTCATCAAAACTTAAACCCAAAGATAACAAAGACGACATTTTCACACTCATTTTGCCTTATAGGGTGAGGAGGGGAAGGAGTCTAGGTGCTGGTATTTATTTTCCAGTTGATCATCCCTGACCTTTAAAGACATAAGATAGCATTGTGTTTAAGAGTGTAGGCCCTAGACTGGCCGGGTGTGGCTCAGCAGCTGAGCATTGACCTAGGATCCAGGAGATCATGGTTCTGTTCCCGGTCAGGGCACATGTCCGGGTTGTGGGCTCTGCAGGAGGCAGCTGATCAATGATTCTCTCTCATCACTGATGTTTCTCTCTCTCTCCCCCGCCTTCCTCTCTCTGAAATCAATAAAGATATATTTAAAAAAAGAAAAAAAAAGAATGACCTGCCAAGAATGGTCCCCTTTGTTAATCTTGATTCTCCTGGGAGCTTAGCTTTGTCACCTCCACCAGTTTAACGGGGGTTGCCTTGCTCTGATGCCTTGTTCTGTGACATGCTCTCTACCATCTCTTACTGTCAGCTGCCCTAGACCACTTGCATTTAGCTAAGCACCCTTGCTCTCTGACAGGTCTGTGCCTTTGCACCTGTCATCCCTTCTGTCTGGAATGTTCCTTCCCTTGGTTTGCCTAGCAAACCCCTATTCATTCTCTTTAGCTCAAAGCAGTCCCCATTTGGCTGAAGCATTTTTCCCACCTCTAGGCAGATTTAATCACTTCCTCTTCTGAGCTCCTGCTGCTGGTTATATTCCCTCTATTACACTTCAGATCTTTCTGTGTGACAGTTACTACTTATGTGTCTCTTTTTGCCATAGACAGAATGTTCAGAGAAATCAGGGACTGTATCTTATTTATTCTGTGTGACTTGGCATCTAGCACAGGTTCTGATACAAGTGGATGTCAAGAGAGATATTGAGCCCGGCCAGGCGTGGCTCAGTGGTTGAGCATCAACCTATGATCCAGGAGATCGAGGTTCAGTCCCCAGTCAGGGCACATGCCCGGGTTGTAGGCTTGATCCCCAGTAGGGGGCATGCAGGAGGCAGCCAATCAATGACTCATCATTGATGTTTCTCTTTCTCCGTCTCCCTTCCTCTCTCTGAAATCGACAAAGATATATTAAAAAAAAGAGAGAGAGAGGTGTTGAATGATGAAATGAATGGATAGATAGTAAGTGGGTGTTGGCTTTTTGCAGGCATCATCCTTCTAGGATATGTGACTGTCCCAAGGCCAGGGTGTGTCCGTGAAGGACGCAGCTCATGACAGTGGCTGACTGCTTAATAAGCAGTCAATGATTTGGCTAATGAAGGTAGTGATAATGATGATAATAGTACCTGAGGCTGATCATGCTTCCTAGTGAGTCATTCCTGGCTGAGCCTGAGGACAGAGATCATGGCTGACAGATCATGGTCACTGAACAGTGGCTGAGCTGGCTCCAGCCAGCCTGATCCTGGCCATGACTCACTCCAGCCTGAGCCTGGTCTCCAGAGTCCCACAGGCTGTGTTCAAAGCCCAGCACAATGATCTACCCAGACCTTCAATAAGTTTTAAACCCTGTCTGAACCTGTTTCCTTCTCTACCCTCCTTGGTCGATGAGACACAGGTTCCACTCCTAAGATGCTGATAATAGAGAAACAGTCCCCCACCTTTGGAAAGCCTGCAGTTTCATGGAGAAAGCATTATATTCCTTATTACATTGTACTACAGTTCCCTCTTTAGTTTTGCTATATTTGTCTTTGTGTTTCTTGCAGATGGCTTGGGTAGGGCATTGGTAGTGACTCAAGAGATACAGATAAGAAACAGAAGTGTAGCTCCCAAACCACATGGAGGAGTAGGAAAGAAATTTGAAAAAGAGCAAGGTAGGGTTAATAAGGGAAGCTATTTGGATGATGGAAGCATAAGTTGAGGGGAAAAGGCCGGGGTGGGTAGTGGAGAGGAGTGCCTTCTAATTACTGGCTGTTCAGGATCGGAAGAGGGGAAGGGTAAGAGGCAGGAAGACTCAGCCTGAGGGGTCAAAGAGGTGCAACAGTAAACACATGGGATCAGTCAGAGAAGCGACATAGAAGATAGAATGACCGGAAATCCCTAAATCTTCTCGAATTGGCTCCTATGGGGGAATATGTGTGATTGCCTGGGTTGGGTGCATGTCTTTGCATTGTGAAAGTGTTTGGTTGGGTCTGTTGTATATCCCTGAGTAAGTGTATCTGTATTTCCATGCAGTGTGGGTGGATGAGGGGTCTATTTTATAGGTCTTTGTAGGTGTATCTGAGTTGTACGTCTTAGTATATGTGTGAGAGGGCTGTAGGTCTGAGTTGGTGTGTCTTTGTTGTAGGGTCTGAACTGTGTGTTTCTGTCTCATTCTGGATTTCTGTGTGGTGGGTGGGTGTTAGGGAAAGGGATAGGGGTGCCTTGCTGCTACCCCTGGGTGCCCATAATGGGTACAGGGCCAATTCAGCTGTGGTCCATATCCTGGGGGCCTTAGGGAGAGGCCTGAGCGATGACTCGACTCCTAGACTGTTGTCCCTGAGTGAATGACCTCTCATTGAACAATATTTAACTTGGCCCCCCATGAGAAGAATTTGAACTGTGTTGGTGAAGGGGCTGGGACTTGTTCAAGACAGGCCTTATTGCCCGAAAAAGGAGGAGGCTGAAAGGGGGCCTTATAGGCATGTGTGTTGTTATCATTCCCTCCTGTTCACCCTGTAGGTCAGTCACCCTGTCCTGGGTGCTATTCAAAATATTTAACAAACAGTGAGGAACAGAGATTGAACAGTCGGAACAGACACAAGCTGTGCCCTGAAAGGAGCAGTCCTGGAGGCCATGGCTGTGCCAACCATTGCCTCTCTAGTTGCTGGACAATGAGAATGGATTCCAGGAGAAGGACTGGTATACAGGGGAAGTGCAGGGAAGCCCAGGGAGCTTGGGCAGTGGCTGTGAACC